CTAGCAACCCCATGTGACAGAGTAGAACTGCCCCGTAAGGTTTTCTAGGCTGTAAATTTTTAGATGAGCAGATCGCCACATCTTTCTCTCGAGCCACTGGGTGGGTTCGAACCGCCAACCTTCTGGTTAGCAGCCAAGAGCTTAACTACCAGGGCTCTTAAAAAATTAGTTATCTACCTTAATTTTACAAATCAAACCTCACCTAGGTACCCTTCGCTGCGCGGCAGGGCCCAGGACTGACACAAAGACACTTCATTTCAACTGCATTTATGTGCCCATGAAAGTGAAGTCATCAGACTCTGAAGAACCACACATTCAATGTGTGATCAACAAATAAAAAAAGATAACACTTTCACTCACGTCTAGTTATTTTCTCGATAACCTTTCCCATGTGTTTTACTCTAACAAGTTCATGAGAGCCAAGGTATGACCCTGAGTATATCCCAACTGAATTTAGAGACCATCTCAGGAATAGATTTGATGCTTTGAACACTGATGACCAAAGACCAGATGAGTTGTGGAATGACGTCAAGGACATCATACACAAAGAAAGCAAGAGGTCGTTAAAAAGAAGGAAAGAAAGAAAAGACCAAAATGGATGTCAGAAGATACTCTGAAATTTGCTCTCGAAATAATAATGAAGAAACAATGAAGTAAAAGAGCTGAACAGAAGATTTCAAGGGGTGGCTCAAGAAGACAAAGTAAAGTATTATAATGACATGTGCAAAGACCTAGAGTTAGAAAACCAAAAGGGAATAACATGCTCAGCATTACTCAAGCTGAAAGAACTGAAGAAAATATTCAATCCTCAAGTTGCAATATTGAAGGATTCTATGGGCAAAATATTGAACGATGCAGGAAGCTTCAAAATAAGATGGAAGGAATACACAGAGTCACTATACCCAAAAGAATTGGTCAATGTTCAACTGTTTCAGGAGGTAGCATATGATCAGGAACCGACAGTACTGAAGGAAGAAGTCCAAGCTGCACTGAAGGCATTTGTGAAAAACAAGGCTCCAGGAATTGACGTAATATCAATAAAGATGTTTCAGCAAACGAATGCAGCACTGGAAGCGCTCACTTGTCTATGCTAATAAGTTTAGAAGACATCTACCTGGCCAACTGACAGGAAGAGATCTGTATTTATGCCTATTCCAGAGAAAGGTGATCCAACAGAAAGCTGAAACTATCGAACAATATCATTAATATCACATGGAAGTAAAATTTTGCTGAAGGTCATTCAAAAATGGCTGCAGCAGTATATTGACAGAGAACTGCCAAAAATTCAAGCCAGATTCAGAAGAGGATGTGGAACCAAGGATATCATGGCTGATGTCAGGTGGATCCTGGCTGAAAGCAGAGAATACCAGAAAGGTGTGTTTACCTGTATTTTATTGACTATGCAGAGGCATTCAACTGTGTGGATCATAACAAATTACGGATAACATTGCAAAGAATGTGATTTCCAGGACACTTAATTGTGCTCATGAGGAACCTGTACATAGATCAAGAGGCAGTTGTTCGAGCAGAACAAGGGGATACTGCGTGGTTTAAAATCAGGAAAGGTGTGTGTCAAGGTGTGTGTCAAGGTTGTATCCTTTCATCACACTTATTCAGTCTGTACGCTGAGCAAATAATTCAAGAACCTGGGCTATATGAAGAAGAACTCAGCATCAGGATTGGAGGAAGACTAATTAACAATCTGCGATATGCAGACGACACAACCTTGCTTACTGAAAGTGAAGAGGACTGGAAGCACTTACTGATGAAGATCAAAGACTACAACCTTCAGTATGGATTACACCTCAACATAAAGAAAACAAAAATCCTCACAATCGGACCAATAAGCAACATGATAAACAGAGAAAAGACTGAAGTTGTCAAGGATTTCATTTTACTTGGATCCACAATCAACACCCATGGAAGCAGCAGTCAAGAAGTCAAACGATACATCGCATTGGGCAAATCTGCTGCAAAAGACACCTTTAAATTGTGGTGTTGGCAGAGAATATTGAATGTACAATGGACTGCCAAAAGAATCAACAAATCTGTCTTGGAAGAAGTACAACCAGAATGCTCCTTAGAAGCAAGGATGGCGAGAGTATACGTCTTACATACTTTGGATGTGTTATCAGGAGGCATCAATCCCTGGAGAAGGACATCGTGCTTGGTAAAGTAGAGGGTCAGCGAAAAAGAGGGAGAGCCTCAAAAAGATGGGTTGACTCAGTGGCTGCAACAATGGGCTCAAGCATAACAACGATTGTGAGGATGGTGCAGGACCAGGCCATGTTTCGTTCTGTTGTACATAGGGTCACTATGAGTCAGAGTCGACTCAATGGCACCTAACAACAACAACAGAATCAAGGTCCCTGAGTGCCTCAAATGGTTTGCAGTAGTCTACTAACCTAAAGATTGGCAATTTGAACCTACCCAGCAGTGTCATGGAAGAAAGGCCTGGCTATCTGCTTCTGTAAAGGTGATAGCCAAGAAAACCCTGTGGAGCAGTTCTACTCTGTAACACATTGGGTCACCGTGAGTTGGAATCAGTTTAGAATCAGAGCACGTGGCCAGCTGTAGCGAGGACCCTGAGACTTGCCCAGGGTCACACAGCCTTTCCCGAGACCAGTGTCCTGGCCCAGAATGAGCATCTTTCTCCTCTTCTGCGCTGTTCCTCATGAACGGAACGCTTTCCTTCTCCCTTCTGTGTCTGAAATTCAGTGTCTGTTGCTGAGCTCCTGGAAATGGAAACCCCACATCTGCTTCATAGGATGGAAGCCCAGTTGTTTGTCTGTTTAGAGGGAGCAAATCCCAACCTTCAGCAGGACTGGAAGGTGAGAAGTTATTGCTCCACTGGCTGTGCAACCATCTTGTCTGCCTGGCCTAAGTAAGGCTCTGCTTATTCCTCTGGGCGTGGTTTCCATCCTGCAAATTGCCCCCGGAAGGTGTTTGGAAGGCAGCAGTGTGTGTGTGTGCATGGGCATGTGTGTATGTGTGTGTTTCACGGGCAGCATGCTTTCGTTTAACCGATGATTTATTATTTGTTACCCGAGGTGTTGGGTGGAAATCAATGGCGCAATCCCTGTTACTTTACGATGGATTTTTCTCTTCGGGGGCCGGAGTGATGTGTGAGCACTGTAAGGACGGAATGCCACCTTTAGTGGCCTGGCCTGGTGGAAATCAGAGCAGCGTTCGGCCTGCTGAGTCTGAGTCGTCCGGTACGCAAGGTGCGTGGCCATGTGTCCGCAGGTGGATACGCTGAGCTGATGGTTAGAATTCGATGTGCTGGTGAGAATTGCTTGGCTCTTTAATATAATGGGTTTAATGGCTGGTAGGAAAGTGCATTTGAAGCAACCCCGTCACCAAATGGTACCACATTGGGGGGGCCCAAAGCCTCCGTGGGAAGAACCACTGTGACCCAATGGCAGTGGGACAGCCTCCTTGGCACGAGGGGCCTGCCTCTGGGTAAGCCCCTCACAGCCTCTGCTCTCAGTCTGCTTGTGGGTCCACTCTGTTGCCCGCCCCCAGCCAGGGTGCAGGTCCCCAAGAGCTGGTGGGGGTGCACCTGCCCATGTGGCCGCCACACTCTGCTGCTCCACCAGGGCTGGGGCCTTGGGGCAAATGAAGGTGTGATGTCATTCACACCTGCTGGAGGCACGAGGCCAGCATTACTCAGGGCTCTTCGGGATGCAAGAGACAGAAGGCAGTTCAAACTCCCCAAAGTCCACGCACCTAAGACCCATGAAAGTTCAAGACCAGCTGTGCCTGCTGGTCCGACGTCACCCTCAGAGCCTCCCTGTCACCACAGCTCAGCTCTGCCTTCCTTTGTCTTCTGCTCTGGCGGGGGCTTTCCCACACACACTCATAAACACACACACACACTCACTCATAAACACACAAACTCATAAACACACACACTCACTCAGAAACATGCACTCACTCACTCAGAAACATACACACAGTCACTCATAAACACACACACACACTCAGAAACACACACACTCATAAACACACACACTCACTCAGAAACATGCACTCACTCAGAAACACACACACACTCACTTGTAAACACACACACACTCAGAAACACACACACTCAAAAACACACACACTCAGAAACATGCACTCACTCAGAGACACACACACACACTCATAAACACACACTCTCACTCAGAAACACACACACTCCTCATAAACACACACTCATAAACACACACACATACACTCAGAAACACACACACTCACTCAGAAACACCCACACTCACTCATAAATACACACACTCCCTCAGAAACACACACACTCACTCCTAAACACTCAGAAACACTCATGCTTACTCATAAACACATTCACCCATAAACACTCACATACACTCACTCAGAAACACACACAAGCACTCATAAAGATATAACTCATAAACGCACAGACTGGCACACACAAACTCACACACAGTCTCACAAACACACTCACACAGACTCACAAATTCACATGCATACACACTCATAAACACAGACTCACGCACACACTCAAACACACAGACTCACACATACTCATAAACACTCACACAGACTCACAGACTCGCACACACTCACACAGGGCAGGCGTGGGGGGCTGTTTCCTCTCTGAGCTCCCTCCCCTTTGCTCCCCTTCCTGCTCCCACTGCCCCCCACCCCCACCCCTTTGTTTTTCTGGTTCTCAGCTTCACCTCTAGGGCTTCTTTTTCCCCAAACCCGGCCCAGCTGCACCCACCTCTGCAGGCCCTCCCTCTGGACTCTGGGTTTGGCGGATGAGCGCCCTGACCCCAACCAGCCCCAAAGATGGTGGCAGCGGCTCCGTCGGCAGCTGTGGCCGCCTGGTGCCCTGGCCTTTTCCCACCCTTAGAGCCCTGCCCAGGCTCGGGGCCCCCAGTTAGTACTTTACCCGGTCAGTGCTGCGAACATTCCATTCCTTTCACATGAGTAATAGCAAGGCAAGTCCAAGAAATGTCCCGTATTTTCCCCTTGTTGTTGCCCAAGTGATTATCCAACAGCCATGTCACATGAGGAGGCCCACGGGGGCCACCCCACGAGGGTGAGACCCCGCCTCGGTGAGCGCGGCGCCCCGGGGCCTGTCAGGGAGACCACCTCAGTCCCAGGACCCTTAGCCACATGGGGGCCTCGTGCCTCGGGTCTGGGAAGAGCCAGCTGGTAGGACACCTGGTCCTTTCCCTCCTGATTTGAAAGTCATTTTGAATTAGTTTTAAGGGTTCCACAGAGAGGTTTTGCTTTTAGAAAAATTCTGTCAAGATACTTAACCTTTGGATACACAACCTTTCTTTAATTTAGTATCAGAACACACATTTTTAACGCCCGGGGATCTCCGTCAGGATCTCAGAATGAATCTGGTGTTTCGGGGTAATCTTCAGAAGGGCTGGCGCTGTCCGTGCCTCATTGCCTGCTGCCTGATTTCTTGGTGGTGGGATCTGAGCCCCTTGAGCCGTCAGAGCAGCTCCAACTAGTGCTACCACTGGCGCTGTGCTGGCTCTTCCGGCTGAAGAGGAACGATCTCCCTGCAGAAGGAGTAAGCTGGAAAACATCCGTGACAAGTACAGGGTGCATTCGGGCGGAGGTTTCCCTGCTGTGTCAAGATGCATGAGAAATAAAATGAACCATGGTGTGAGGCAAGAGATGTTTCGGGAAACCAGCCGCATGGACGCACGAAAGCAAACGGGAGAACAGGCACTTAAGCTTCTCTAGAGCAGGTGCTTGTGATTTAAACAGGGACGAATTATAGGATCACAAGGCAGCTCCTGTCATTGAGGGGCCAGGGAAAGTGGGTTTTTAAGAGGCACGACCGGGAGGTAAGGCCTTCTCAGCAGGACTTCCACATCAGCTAAATGTTCCTGTTCTCCCTGCCTCCCCTTGCCGAACTCACGGCATGCTAAAGACCCAAAGTCATCAAAAACGGTGAGATGACAACCCCAGTAAATGTTAGTCGGGGTCCCCCTGGATGATCAGAACGTGGAAACGTTGGCACAGGCCCACGTAACGTGGCACTTGAGTCTTTCCCGAAGACTCTCAATAATGTGTCACGTTTCTATCTAGCAGTTCTGGAGCACTGATAGAGCTCTAACTGAGCGTGACAGCAAATAGCCACGACAATGAATAAGCGAGGCAGCAACCCTCGGGCTGGTCCCATCTCTAGTTTAAGCAGAGACATCTGGAGGGGACCCCGAGAGACCTGGAAATGTACATTCCCAGGCCAGGAAAAGGCCCTTCAAGTGGCTGATGCTAATGCAGTAGTTCAGTGGTAGAATTCTCGCCTTCCACGCGGGAGACCCGGGTTCGATTCCCAGCCGATGCACCTCAAGCACAGCCACCACTCGTTTATCATTGGAGGCTTGTGTATCATGCTGAACAGGTTTCAGTGGAGACGGACTAGAAAGAAAGGACTTGCAATCTACTACGGAAAAAAGTTAGCCAGTGAAAACCTTATGGATCACAATGGTCTGGTCCCCTTGTGCATGGGGTTGCCGTGAGTAGGGCTGACTCCACAGCAGCTAACAGCAACAGTGTAATCTTTAGCACATCCCTCGTCGTCTGAGCTCTGGAACAGGGTTGCTGATTTTGTCCCATCTGGCACAGTGGTTAAGCGCTCGGCTGCTAACCAAAAGCTAGGTGTTTTGAGCCACCAGCCGTTCTACGGAAGAAAGATGTGGCAGCCTGCTTCCGTAACGATTACAGCCTTGGAAGCCCTTGGGGGCAGTTCTACTTTGTCCTACGGGGTCGCTGTGAGTCGGAATCAACTCAGCGGCAATGGGTTTTGGATGAATCTTTATGGAAGTAGATTGCCAGGCCTTTCTTCTGAAGTGTTTCTGGGTGGGTTCAAACTGCCAACTTGAGGTTAGTAGTTGAGTGATACAGATCAGCCCTATTCGTACAGGGAAGAGAGGCCGGTCCTTTGAAAGAGCAGGTATTGGGGAGGTATCCTCGTGTCTTTATTTTCCTGGTGGTGTTTGGCTACAAGCCACAGAATCTGACTCTGGTTAGCTTAGTAAGAAAAGAAAAGGAACTTACTGGAAGGCTACTGGGTAGTTATCAGAATCAACGGCACAGCTGGAGAACTGGGCTCAGAAATGGAACAGGAGCCTGGGCTGGCAGCCAGCATGAGGTTCAAGGCCATGCGGCAGGAAGGTGCCTGGGGGTGGGATGGGCAGGCAGGTGGGAGCCTGCAGTGGGGGATGGAGTGCTTTGTACCACCAAGAGGACGGGTAAGTGGGTGCTTCTTAAAATAGGAAGAGTTTAAGTTGCTGAGGGCAGCCCCTAAAAGTCAGAAATTCACTTCACCTGGTCTACACTGGGAAACCCTTGTGGTGTAAGTGGTTAGGAGCTACGGCTGCTAACCGAAAGGTCAGCAGTTCGAATCCACCAGGCACTCCTTGGAAATCCTATGAGACAGTTCTACTCTGTCCTATTGGGTCGCTATGAGTCAGAATCTACTTGATGGCAATGGGTTTGGTTTTAGGTTTTGGTCTAGATTGAGCTCAAGTGTTACTTGGCTACAAGTATGCTCAGCATTGCAATATTAGTATGTTCCTGAAAAGTTACTTTAAACCATGTTTTATATACATTATACAGCAAGCCAGTCCTGTCGAGTGGACACTGATTCATGGCGACCCCATGTGTAACAATAGAACTGTGCTCTGTAGGGTTTTCAATGGCTGATTTTTCAGAAGTAGATGGCCAGACGTTTCTTCTGAGGTGCCTGTGGATGGACTTGAACCTCCAACCTTTCAGTGAGCAGCCAAGTGTGTTAACCGTTTGCACCACCCAGAGACTCTTTTATATAGGCTAGTTAAGCTTCATAGTTTTTAGAAGTCTGTAAATAATTATTTTGAAAAGCAGCTGATCCTTTTAGAGAACAAATAACCAGGTAAACATTTTTTAATATCAGGACTGTAGCGTATTCTTATGCAAATAACACTCGCCTTCTATGTTTGTTTGCCATTGCTCCCCCCCCCCCCGCCCCCAGGTATTTTCATAGGTGCTGATATGCCAGTTTGTTTTTCTTTACACGTTTCTGTGAAAAAATACTAACATAACGTACTTACGAAAATACCTCTTGGGGGGGAGGGCAGTTGGCAGACAAACTAGCAGGTGCGCGTTATTTGCATAAAATACCGTACATGTTGCGTTTTCTCAAAGCAGAGTATCCAATATCTATGTTTCCTCCTTTGCCTACAGTGAGGAAACGTTGCAACTTCATAGATAACTGCTGGCAGTGTCTCATGCTGTGAGAAAAAACACTGAGTTTCTTTTTCTTCTTCCTCCTTTTTTTTTTTTTTTCCTTTTTCTTTCTCCGCCATAATTGATTGTCTTTTGGAAGGAAGGAGAGGCTGTTAAAAATTTTAAAGAGCTTGTATTTATTTTATTCTTATCGGCAAGACTGCTCTGACATTCGCTTACTTTGGAATTAAGAAAGGGAGCAAACCCCCACAAAAAATCCCAAATCTATTGCTGCCGAGTCAATCCCGACTCGTAGCAACCCTATAGGACAGAGTAGAACTGCCCCATAGAGTACCCAAGGATTGGCTGGTGGATTCGAACTGCTGACCTTTTGGTTAGCAGCCGAGAGCTTAACCACTGCACCACCAGGGCTCCCAGAAAAGGGGCATTTGAAGGAACCCAGTGGAGGAGTGGGCGTTTCTCATTGATCCACGTGTTGAGTCACATTCAGAGAATTCCCCTTCAGCGTCAGTTTTCTTCTTCTGTAACAGGCTTTAAACTGCAGCAGATATTAGCTCAGTTTCCTCGAGCTTCATTCACGTTTCCAGGATCACTGAGCTCCAGAGACAAGGCTGCGGAGCTGGGCAGGGTCCTGGCTGGGGCGGGTGTGAGAGGTTTGGACTTTCTGCTCTTTATACCCCAGAGAAAGGGTCTGTGTGTCACAAATAGTACTGGTGGCCATGTGGAGAGAGGAAGGCAGGGAGACCAGGGACACTGCTGTCATAATGAGGGGGAGGGGAGGGAGAGAAACAGACAGAGAGCAAGAAGGAGGGTGGAGGAGAGGAGGGGCGGAGGGAGGCACTGAGACAGTGGAGAGAAAAGAGAGATGCTAAGAGCAGTTACCGCCCCTATGACAGGAACGTTCTCAGCTCATGTCTCCTTTAACCCACCGAGGAACCCAACAGGTGGGTAGACTGGCGTGGCCTTTGCCCTGGGGTTAGGTTCTCACGCGCCTCTAGGGAGGTGGCACCTTGCCGCCCTGCAGTGAATTTCTCGATAAGTCTAATTCAGCTACTTTTTCCTCCAGCGCTGGAGCAGACGGCTGCTCACGGGCTGACACCCTGTGAGGTCCTGGCTTCCATGTTCAGGGACTGTGTTATTTGAAAAACACATGCCTTTAAATACAGGAATTGCTCAGTGTGGCAAGATGCTGCCCTCGAGAGGGGACGGTGCATTCCCTTCGTGCCGTTGAATCGTCGTGAGCTTAACGTATATAAGAGGTCTGCTCCATCTTACCGTTAGGAAAACTGTGGCTCCGAGAAGAAAAATAAATTGTTCAGGACCACATGACTAGCAGGTGACAGAGCTGGAGTCCAGCCCAGGACTGCCTGTCCCCCAAACCAGAGAAGCACGGCCAGGCCTGGCGCTCCCCGTGGGGATGCAGAGCAGCGGCTTCAAGGGGGTGCTCCTGGGAGCATACACCAGAAAAACGTGTTGCTATCAAGTGTATTCTGACTCATAGCAACCCTATAGGACAGAGCAGAACTGCCCCACAGGGCCCCCAAGGCTGTAATCTTTACAGAAGCAGACTGCCGCGTCTGTCTCCCACAGAGCAGCTTGTGACCTTTGGTTAAGCAACTGAGCATTTAACCACTGCACCACTAGGGCTCCTTCCCTGGACACATAGGCAATTTGTGTGTGCCATTTTCTGTAATTCCGGACCATGATTTTGAGATGCTTACATCTTAGATAAAATACGTGGCTAAAGAAATTAGAGTAAGTAACAGCGTTCGGGGGATTGTTTGTTCATTGATGGCAGAACACAGGTGATTCTGATTTCGAGGGGGGCGGGGCACCAAGTGAACCACTTTGCCGATTTGACTGTAGTTCTGTTGTTAGTTGCTTCCCGGTCAACGCGGAGTCACGGCGACCTCGTGTATGACAGAAGGAAACGTTGCCCGGTTCTGTGCCAACTTCGAGATCGTTGGCCTGTTGGAGTCCACTGTTGCGGCCACTGTGTCCATCCATCTCATTGAGAGGTTCCCTCTACCTCACCAAACACGATGTGCTTTTCAAGCAATTGATCTTGCCTCATGATGTGTCCAAAGTAAGTGAGTCAGAGTCTTGCCATTCTCGCTTTTAAGGAGCATTCTGATTGTACTTTTAAGAGAGAATAATAATTCCTTTTTTTTCTGGTGCATTTTAATGGATAAGCATCATAGCTTTATTCTACTCAGATGGCTTTTCCCATATTTTACATAATATTTAGACATAAAACAGAAAGCGCTATCTTTTTGGGGCTAAAAACATTGATACACTCTTCAAAACCTATTAGAGGGAACATCGATTTCCCATATAGAGTAATCCTGAATTGCTCTTTTTCTCAAGATTCGTAAATGCATTAATGATAGCCTTCAGATTTATAGTTAAAGTCAAACTTGTATGGGGTTTCATTTGAGAGAGTCACAAACCTTCCGAAGTTCACATTTGCTGTTTTTCATTTATGTGTCCAAGATATTTCACGCAGCGTCGAAGCAGACTTTAAACTTCCTTGAAATCAGTCTGATTTGCCCTTGTTCTGTCTATCTGCTCATCTTCTGTGGGCCTCCTCCCCGCTTGGGTGAACTTTTTTGCTACTGATAGGTTTGTTACTTGCTTCCTTAGAGATTGGAATTTCGAAGTGGGAAGGAAATAGTGGAAAACTGAATGCAGATACAGTGATTCCTTAAATGTTTTTAAGTGTACGTGGGATCTTGGGTTTGTATTGATCATTCCTTCCTTCTTTGGGAGGTTTCTGGTGTCAATCCATTTTACTTTTCCGTGTCTTTAATGCTTTTTCTTTGTTCACCTAGAATCATGTTTTCCCGCTGGGCAACAGATTCGCTGTGCTGGGCTAGGTTAGCAGGTAGCCTGTGGTTGTAAAAACATCAGCAATGATGACTAAGAAAAGAGTAAGCACCCTGTTACGGGCCCAGTATTACAAGTGTGTATTTGGAAATGTGTTTCTACCTTTGAAATAGTATCTTGGAAAGGACGATCTTGGTAAGTTAGGGCCTGCACCGATGATGTCACATTAGAATAAAATAAGAACATGCAGTTTTATATGATGCTTCTGTAAGCCCAGCTTTGATAGCCAAACACACACCGGGACTTGTGTTACAGTAAATCACCTTTCATGCTGGAAGATGAAATCATCTGGGTAACCACGTAAAGTGGCATGTCTGTTAAACACAGAGATTGTTGTGAATAGATTTATGGATTCGATTTGTCTGCAGTTGTCAAAACCTCGTTAATTTTAAGCCCGATGATACCGCTTGCTGTCTCAAATCACTTTTAAATTACACATGTGCTACTTGATCTTAAACACAAAATTAAAGCTTGGATTAGTAGACGTTCCAAGCTACAACATTTAACCATTGTATTTGGGAGGAAGGAGTTTAATACAGATTGTAAAATAAAATTAGGAGGTACTTTGCATTCATGGTGGCGTATGTAATTAGGTTCTGTCAGCTGTAGTTTTTCAGATTAATTTGATCCACGATGGATGCTACTTAAATAAGCTTATAAATCCCTTTATAATTCTAAATTGTTATATAAATCCTTAATATTAATGTAATAAAGTATTTGAGGTAAATTATTTGGAAGTATGGGTTGCATGGCAAATAGGTAAAACCTGATTTTTTATTTTTAGAAATCAGAGTAGATTACATATTTGGTTTGTTTAACAAATACAGGTATTTAAGTCCCTACCTGGCCGGGTGCTAAGGACACGAAGGTCCAGAAGCCTTGGGCACTGTCCTCAGGACACTGACAATCTGGGTGACATCTCCAGAGGGTTTCCTGGAACACATTTCCGCGAGATGCTCTGCTGGGTGCGGTCAGGTTTGTCAAGAGCTGCAGCTCCACTTGAGAGGGTGCAGGGAGCACCCACATTTCCAAACCCTTTGACTGCAGGGACGCTCTTTTTCATGAGGTTCTCGATCTGTTGGTCTGGACTCTGAGCTTCTTAACCTGGGCTCTCCCGAGTGTTCACAGATAGAATTCAGGGAGCCTGTGGAGCCCCTGAAGCCCTGGAGGTGGCACAGCGGTTAAGCGTTCAGCTGCTGACTAAAAGGTCGGCAGCTGGAATCCACCACCTGGGAAACCCTATGGGGCAGTTCCATCCTGTCCTATAGGGTTGCCATGAGTTTTTTTTTTTTTAAATGGAGTCCCTGGATGGTGCAAACGGTTAACACACTCGGCGGCTAACCAAAAGGTGGAGGTTCTAGTCTGCCCAGAGGTGCCTCAGAAGAAAGACCTGGCAATCTATTCCCCCAAAATTAGCCATTAAAAAACTCTCTGGAGCACAGTTCTACTCTGCCACACATGGAGTTCTTTACGCAAAGGAAAAGAATCCTGGATGTGCAGAAAAAAATGTGAACCGACGTATTCTAAGAGAATATCCTGTTCCATTTTTTTTTAACTAGGAGCCTTTTGTTAACGCAGTGGAGTATGAGCGTGTGTTCTACCGTTGTTTGTGGCTCTCTCCACAGCCCCGTTGGTTTAGAGGATCATTCTGCCTTGATCTCCGTCATTCCATCACCTCTCCCCAGTGGAACTCATCCCCCAGCAGAGACTTACACAAGTCTCTTGTGGACCTTTTTAAATGGGCAGCTAAACGCTGACTTACTAATAACTGAATCTAGGAGTCAAATTCCAATCCTGTCTTCAGTGGTTAACGTTTTTAGGAACCATAGAGCTTGCTCGTGATCCATAGATTAGTTTTACCATTCTGTTAAGGAATATGAAGAGGAATCTAAGGCTAGGTTGTATATAGTATTTTTATTCAATTCAGCTAAAGGCCTGCTTATGATTCTCCTCTTCCCCACCAACAAGAAAAATAAAACTAAAAATAAATGCAGCATACATGTTGAAAATTAATGTTTGGCAAGAAAAAAGACAGAGTGCCACGTGGAAGGACTCAGCCATGTGTTCCTTACTGCCTTCCAGCGTGCTTTAGCTGTAAATCATTGCCATAAATGTAATATTTGGCACACTGTGGCCAAGTGTATGCAAATAGATGTTAAGGGCTTATGGCCGGGGGTAGAAGAGATATAAAAAAAGACTCTTACCCTCCAGGTGTTTGCAGTTCCCTCTGGGAAAATGAAGATGCACACAGGCAAAGTGACAACGACATTGATGGAGACGTGTCAGCGTCGAGGTCCTTTCTGCTCTTGTATGTCTCGTGGAGGCACATCATCACACACTCAGTTTCCTCGTGACCACGTCCGCTCTATTCTTCCCTTAGGTGGTGGGGAAAGAAGGGTGTGTTCACACACGTGTGTGCTCACACCCCGCCCCCCCACCCCCTGCATCATTTGTCTATGGCCGGCTGTAACAGATAAACACAAACTGAGCGCCTTAACACAATGCCCATTTACTGTCTCACAGGGCCCAAGGGTCAGCAATCTGGGTGCAGCGTGGCTGGGCTGGTTCCCACAGGGAGTCAGCAGGCCTGCGTTCCTTTCTGGAGGCTAGGGAATGAAGCTGCTTCCAAGTTTCTTCAGGATGTGGCCAGAGTCCATTTCCCTGTGGTTGTAGGACTGAGGTCCCCGTTTCCTTGCTGGCTGCTGACTGGGGTCATCCTCAGGTTCCAGAGGCTGCCTGCCTTCCTTGGCGGGTGGCCCCCTTCCTCCATCTCCAAAGCCAGAAAGGACGGATCTAGCCTTTCTCCCACTTCCGGCCTCTCTGAGCTCTCTCACTCTGACTGACTCTTCTCTCTTCCTCATCTGCGTTTAAGGGCTCCTGTGATTATATCAGGACCCGCCCAGATGATAACCCAGGAGAAAACCAGTGTTGGCAAGTCGACCTCGACTTGTGGTGAGCCCATGTGTGTCACACCCGTGTGTGCACCATAGGGTTTACAATGGATGATTTTTATGAAGCAGATCACCAGGCCTTTCTTCCGAGGCCCCTCTGGGTGAACTCAGACCTCCAACCTTGTGGTTGGCAGCTGAGTGAATTAACGTATATACCACCCAGGGACTCCTAACCCAGGATGATGCCCCTATTTTAAGGTCAGCAACCTTAATTATTTAGTAACTTTAATTCCATCTGCAAAGCCCTGTCACAACCGCGCCTAGATTAGTGTTTGATGGAAAATGAATCAGGACATAGAAATCTTGGGGGATATTTTTAGAGTTCTGCCTGTCACCCCTCCCCACACACATGCACACCCAGGAACAGAAAAATGATAAAAAATGAAGTTGTCCCGAGCGACTGTTTGTGGGGAAGAGATTTGTTTCCATTTCAGGGACAATATGTGCTGTGATAATTCTGTGGTATTTACACATTTGGTGTTTAAGGCTCGTGGACCACATTATACATATCTTAAGGAATTCTCTTTACATAAATTAGGATCATTTTCTCTTTCCTGAAAACATAGCGGCATGCCACACATTCTGGAGGAAATGAGGGGCTGTCTACACCACGAGCCAAATTAAACTCGGGGAGAGTTCAGATGTGGGATGGAAATGTGCTCCAGTCACGGCATACTTTAAGTTTTCTAGCCCTTGCCTTGCAATCACAATCACAAATTAATATTAAAAAGCTATTTAATTATACTATGAAGACTGCAGCCGAGGTTCCCTGACATTTCATGGAGAAAGTGACCCTGAGCATACATAGTGTTGACCTCCGTGGGATTGCCCAGGAGCGGCCTCTCCTAGCGGGGAAAGAACACTGTGGTGGATAGAAGGGACGCGGTTTGGGGGTTTTCTCTCTCCAGTTGCCCCAGGCTGGGCCATCTTTCCTAACTCCTGCCATCTCCTTAAGCCTCAGTGTTCCCATCCTGGGAATGACAACCTTCAGTTTCGGATTTAATGAAGTAATGTCTTAAAAAAATACTTTGTAAGCTATGAGGCGCTAGACACCCTTGTAGTTAAGCAGCCACGCGCACAGAGAATGAGACAGAGATTGTAACTTCCTCGGCTTTCTTTCTCACACTATTTCTGACAAATCTAGGACCGTTAGCGTGAGCGAGGTTTCTACAGTGAAGATTCTTTGCAGGGCATAATCTTGGAATTACAGCAAGATGAGGCCACGCTTCCTTTCTCGGAGAACCAGAAGCAGTTCACGGAGGGGTAGGGGTGCCTGCCGTATCGGCAGACATGTTCCCAGTTCACAGGCGCTAGTTTATGGCTTCACTGGGGGCTAGAGTGTGAACGCTGTTATATCAGGATGACATTCTTGTCCTTTAATGTGTTAGAGTATATGCTTGGCTTTGGGGAGACAGTCACACTTTTGCCTTTTGGGACATGTCTTTGAAATCTACCAGTTGCTGTGGAGTTGGTTCTGACTTATGGTGACCCCATGTGTCATGGTTTGAATGTGTCCCCCAAAAAATCAATTTGGCTGAGCCATGATTCCCAGAATTGTGTGGTTGGCCTCCATTTTGTGATTGTAATTTTATGTTGAAGAGGATTAGGGTGGGATTGTAACACCACCCTTACCCAGGTCACATCCCTGATCCAATGTAAAGGGAGTTTCCCTAAGGTGTGGCCTGCGCCACCTTTTAGCTTACAAGAGATAAAAGGAAAGGGAAGCAAGCAGAGAATCGGGAACCTCATACCACAAGAAAGCAGTGCCAGGAGCAGAACACGTCCTTTGGACCTGAGGTTCCTGCGCAGAGAAGCTCCTAGTCCAGGGAAAGATTGATGATGACGAGGACCTTCCTCCAGAGCCGACAGAGAGAAAGACTTCCCCTGGAGCTGACGCCCTGAATTTGGACTTGAAGCCTACTAGACTGTGAGAGAATAAATTTCTCTTTGTTAAAGCCACGCACCTGTGGTATTTCTGTCAGAGCAGCACTAGATGACTCAGACACCATGTGTGTCAAAGCAGAACTGTGCTCCATAGCATTTTCAATAGCTTATTTTTCAGAAGTAGTTGGCCAAGCCTTTCTTTCAAGGCACCTCTGGTTGGACTCGAACCTCCAACCTTTCGATTAGCAGCAAACGTGTTAACCATTTGCACCACCCAGGGACTCCTTTGAAATCTAACTCTCAAAGATTAAGGTGCTATCTGCCCATTGAGCTTGGCTTTCACTCCAAGCTGAAAACCCTCATTTACTTCTTAGATGGCTTGGCGATAGGTCGACTTGCCCAGAATTCTGCATTCTCCCTGAGGGTAGGTCCTATCTTTTAGGGATGCTGAGGCTCCTCAAACTCTGAACCTTAGGTTATCCCAGCTCAGCCCTGGTCGGGGAACTTGGGTGACGTGAGACAGGACGTCAGAGAAGCAACCTGAACAGGAAGCCAGGCCCCCCAGCCCTGGGTCCGACAGCTCTCCTTCCAGAAGAGAAACTCACCCCACCCCGCCTGGCCCCGTGCTCTGCGGAGGTCTTGAAACCCTGGGGAGCTGTCCCTGTGGCTGCCGCAGATCGGTTCTCAGCACGCGTGCGGGGACTATTGCTGCAGGGGGTGACTGCCCCCTTCCACCAGTGGCCTCGCTGTGGGTGGTAGCTCATCCATAAGAGACAGAGCCTTGGGGGTCAGGGGTCATTAGCGGCCTCCTCGGCCCCAAGGCCAGCAACCGCTGTGAGCCTTTTTCTTTAGACCTGTAAGGAGAGGCACGCTTTGTCCGTTTCTGATGACACGGAGCCAGGTGGCTGCCTGGAGTTTGGGGATCCCCATGAGTATTTCCTCCTGCCCACCCCACGTACCCCCGTACCCTCCGCCTGCTCTTGGTCCCTGCCTTGCACAGCTCCATGATGTCTGCAGACCCTCTCATTAGCTCCGGCTGCCATCTGTGTCTGCTCTTCTGTCCTCTGGTTTCCATGGGGATGTGGTGACAATGGCAGCTCTGCTTGCTCCGGAGCCGTCCCCCCCCATATTGTCGGGTGCCGGGGTCCCCTCTGTCCCTCCATCGCCTCTCCGCCCTCCTTCCCACTGCCCAGGCTTCCCAGGGGTCTTGCTTCTGGGGTACAAAGGTGGCCTTTGCCCAGATGTGTGTGCAGCTGAGCCTCGAGTAAAGCAGAGCTTCTGTAATGAAAAACAAGCCCTGGGGGCACCACAGCCTCTCAGCTGGCAGGGTGGGCGGGCTCATCTCTGTCCACTCACATCCACCACCCCCGCCTCCTCCTTGTCCTTCACAGCCTGACGTTGGCTCACTTGCTGGGGGCACCAGAGACTCCCAGCTGGCAGGGTGGGCGGGCTCATCTCTGCCCACCCACATCTGGGACTTTGATCCACCCCCCACCTGCCTTCCTCCTTGTCCTTCACAGCCTGACGATGGCTCAGTCCCTGGGGGCAGCTGCTTATGGGACGGGGCTGTCAGCTCCGTCCACTGCTCCCCCTTCTGCCCCCAGGACCCCTCTTTGACCCCAGTCCCCGTCTCCACCCATCTTCTTGAAGATAACATCTTCTTGGGCCTGTCCTGTGAGCACCCTGGCCTGGTCGCCTCCCTGGGGCTGCAGTCTTCCTGGGGTCTGCTAATAGCCCAGACATTCCCAGGGAGCCGGCCAGGCCTTGTGAGGGTGGAAGCTCCTGGAAGGGGTGAGACAAAGGTGTCATTCACGTAGACTAAGCCTCAAAGCCGTCTGATTCCTGACTGTGACCGTGAGGCAAGTAAGCCCGGACGTCTCTGGTCTTGGACGGGAGGACCTTCTCCCTCCTCTGGCCACCCAGGTGCTTTCCTCCTCACTTTGCAGGTGGCCCTTGAGTCTCAGGTGAGTAGCCTTCAGGAGACACTTGCCTTTATACGAAAACACTGTGCAGGGTGCAAACACTCTTTCTGCACCTGCCCAAGCTGCCGTCCGACCTTCCGCTGTCCGTCGTCAAGCCCCAAAGCGCTTTCTTCTCCTTTCTTAACTTCAGTATGAAAATTACCCTCTATTTGTAAGATTTCCCAGGGCTGATGTCGTCTTCTCAATGGTGACAGTACTGTTTTCTACCTTAGGCTTAATAAAATGGCCCTCATGTACCATAGCAAGGTACAGCAATCCCAGAGTGAAGTTTATGTCAAGTATGGGTTTGGGGTTGTCTTTTAAATAGAATGATAATTTGAAACTTGATATATTTTGCCTGGTTGATGAGCTTTTTATAGGATATAACTGGTAGTGGATAGATGGTTCAGTGATAGAATTCTAGCCCTCCATGCGGGAGACTGGAGTTCGATTCCCAGACAATGTACCTCATGCGCAGCCACCACCCATATGTTCGTGGTGGCTTGCGTGTTGCTGTGATGCTGAACAGGTTTCAGCAGACCTTCCAGACTAAGATGGACTAGGAAGAAAGGATTGGTG